ATGGTACATTGTCTAGTCTGGTCAAAGTCTGGATTCTGAAGAAAAAAAAACTTCTGAAAAAAACAACTTCTGAAGAAAAAAAACTTCTGAAGAAAAAAAAACTTCTGAAGAAAAAAACTTCTGAAGAAAAAAAACTTCTGAAGAAAAAAACTTCTGAAGAAAAAAAATTATTCAGCACAAAGTTTTGATTAGTTTCCATCCCATTGTTTTCCTAAAAATCAATAAATGTGATTTTATCAATTTTAAAACGCCCTAAAATTAGCTAAATCGGCGCCTTAGGGTGATTGCGTAATATGCGTGCACTATGACCTTTGACTTTTACGGGTCATGCAGCTCTGTGCCGGCCGCCCTCCCACCCCTCGGCCGTGCGTTTTATGGGAAAATTTCTACTTTTTTAGGGGTTTCGGGGCCTAAAAACTAACACCAGAGGGAAAATAAACCACATACGTTATTTTCATGGTAAATATCGCTAAAATGGACCACGCATTTTTCTTCCGCGTTACCGATTTTTAAAAAGGCCTCGCCATGTGCTTCACGCCGATAGCGACTCGCCTTCCCCCGTCCGGTTTTGTGAGCAAATTTCTGCTTTTTCAGACGTTTTGGAACTTAAAAACCGACAGCAGGCGAAAAATAAACAATATACATTATTTTCATGGGAAATGCCGCTATACTGGCCCAGACATTTATCTGTTGCGTTAACCGAATTTTGCGGCCGCCACATGCTCATGGTGCGGTACGGTAGGGAATTTTCCACGGCTAGGTCGAGGGCTTTGTTTTACAAACCAATCAGACAATTAGCGTTGTTTACATGACATAAAAACGCTAGCGGGGCGCCCGATGTTGCACCAATGACAGCTATTCTCTCGGTAGCGTCGTGCGAAATGGTAATTGTTTACACGTTTATCGCCCATTCACAAGATTCAGAAACAATGCCGACGGGAAAATGGACGCCACTCGCGTCAAGATTTCGATGTTTTTGGCCTATTTATCCGCGAAAATACGAAGAGAAGACCCTTAATTTGAAAATTTTGGGAGTGGCGCTAGAAATTTTGGGAGTGGCGCACCGCCGTTGCACCATTGCCTGGGGAGACCCCTGGTATAGTGGTTACTGACATACTGAGCAAATTTGACCACTATGGACCCTATTTGACTACTTCCATCACGAGCTATAAATGGCACAGGTTTTCAGTTCTCACTGAAATATCTTAATGCACGGTCACATCATGACATTTACAGCTCAGTGGTTGTTTGCTTACTGTTGTTATGTACGTGACATAAATTTCTGCTTTCAATTGTTTCTAACAGCATGAAAAAGGCCAGGGCATCATAGAGGAGAATGAAGTACACAGCAACACGCTGGCGGGGGTGTGGGTGACTACAGGCAGCACCCCGGTCCTCAGGAAGAACAGGATCCACAGTGGGAAGCAGGTACGATCCACTCTCACCATACACATCATGGCGTCGTGTGGCATAATGGTTAGGGTGTTTGGATCAGAACCCATATATCCTGGGCTCAAATCCCCTGACATGCCCTGATGTTGTGCCTTGGGAAGGGCACTTGATACGACTTCCCTCAAAAATGAGTACCGAGTTTTGGTTTGGGATGTCCCTTGCATAGGACGTTAAATGGAGGTCCCGTGTTTGGGGAGAGCCACACCCCACGCAAGGACCAAAAAACCCACCACACTCTTTGAAAAAGAGTAGGGGCATGCCCTGCTGTGCGATGCTACATATTTTACTATCTGGAGATTGTAATGCATTTCAAATCACCAGTGTAGGAGATTTGATGTTGGCTACCTAAAACCAAAGAAGAAAGTTCTTGCAATTTTTTTTAGAACACCATTGTTGTGTATATATTTACCTTTGCTATGTTCTTCTTAAAGGTTGGTGTGTACTTCTATGATAATGGCCACGGAACCCTAGAGGAGAACGATATCTACAACCACATGTACTCTGGTGTGCAAATAAGGTAAGTAAACACGTTCTGCTGGTGTGCTCATGTGTGATGTCCTGAAATACTGCTTGTAAATGCAGCCACATTGGGTATTATGTATATATCCTGAAAATGCTGAGATCATTTAGATGCATTTCAACAACATTTGTTGAACTGAAGAACAGGAAGTCCCTGTATATGGTGCCTTGATTTTATGCATACTATCCAGTATATGCACTGCTAATTTGCATGATATATATATATATTGTGGGGACTACATATGCAGATGTTGGTAGGTTAGACCAAGCATATTCATGATATCAGACCTAACTAACTGCTGTTTTTTGCTACACACTCAACTTCCCAACATTGCCATTACAGAACAGGCAGCAATCCTCTCATCAAGAAGAACAAGATCTGGGGTGGCCAGAATGGTGGAATCCTGGTGTACAACAGCGGTAAGTGCACTTACATACATCTCAAACTTGCCTGCATGTTCTGACGTGTATGAATATAATCCTGTGTTTGGTAACAGGATGCTCTAACTTGAAAATATAATTTGTGTAGTCAGTGTCAGTGCAATCACTGAAGGTAGTGGATGCTACCTCAAACTCCTGACTGTTCTCAAAGTCTATCCTGTTGCTCTAGTAACTGTTATTACCAGGGCTCTAGCCAGCTCAAAATTTAGGGGGGTCCAGGGGTATACTCGCCCAGGAAATTTAGGATTTTCAAGCCATGGGGTTGAGAGTGGTTGGTGGTGGTCCTTTGGGTGTTTTTATATTTTTACCCAAGATTTTTGTCAGTTTTGTGTGTCAAGATTGACTGATTGCCCTAAAAAATTCCGTCACATGTCACAAAGTTCCTGACGGAAATACGGGTGCTGGCTCAAAATCTATCCACTTCCTTGAGTAAGTAACTGTTATTTTGGCATTGGATGTTTGACCTTCATCGGCGTACAATTTGTTTACTGATGTTGTTGCTGTTGTTGTTTTTCTAGGCCTAGGCATTCTGGAGGAGAATGAGATCTTTGACAACGCCATGGCGGGGATCTGGATCAAGACGGACAGCAACCCCACCCTCCGCCGCAACAAGATCCACGACGGACGGGATGGCGGGATCTGTATCTTCAACGGAGGGAGAGGTCAGGAAAACAACATGTCCAAAAAACAACAACATGTCCAATAATAACATGTCCAATAATAACATGTCCAGCAATAATATGTCTAACTATGTAGGCAGTCATTAAATAATGACTGAACTTTGTGTTTTAACACTGAAATGAAATTGCCCAACATTTTGGTTGACTCCTTTCATCTTCATGGAATGGACCCATCTGACCCATTGTTAAAGTCATGTGTTCTTGACATGTACAAGAAGTAGACAGGTCAATTCTGTGAACAAGGTTGAAGGAGGCAACCGAAAATTTGGGTATGTCCCAATTTTGCCTTAGTGTTCGAACATGAAGTTCAGCCATTATTTCATAATGAGATTAACCAACACAGATGAACTTCCATGCAATTGTAGTCAGTTGTAAGACGGTAGAGTCAAGTTTTTTTAATGTCTGGTAGTGTTATAGTATAATTTGTCTTTATTCTGAGTAGAGTAGAAGGTCACACATATAATACTGCATATTTTGTACTGATGATGTCTGCTCACTATTTCAGGTGTGTTGGAGGAAAACGATATCTTCCGTAATGCCCAGGCTGGTATTCTCATCAGCACCAACAGCCACCCAACCCTCAGGAAGAACCGAATCTTTGACGGCTTCGCTGCCGGTGTTGAAATCACCAACAATGCCAGCGCCACGTTAGAACACAACCAGATCTTCAACAACAAGTTTGCAGGGCTGTGTCTTGCCACGGGGGTCAAGCCTGTCATGAAAGGTACGGTAAATCGTGAAATATGCATTTTTATTATCTTTTCCTTCACAGAAGGTTTCTTCTTCTGTTCCAAACAAATAAGGTCACTGACCTGGACCAGAAGGCTGTCACCATGGTAACTGGTGCTTTTGCAGACACCCTGTTGTGTTGGATTACATTATGTAGCAAGTGGCAGGACAGAGGTCAAGAGGTGTAGCTATCACTAATCTATGATCTATCATTGACCAGTTGTACTGCCTGCCGTTTCAGATAACCACATATTTGACAACAAAGATGCCATTGCCAAGGCAGTAGCTCGTGGCCAGTGTCTCTACAAGATCTCTTCCTACACATCATATCCCATGCATGACTTCTATAGGTGAGTTAACATACATGAGGTGTGGAGAAAACTTCACATGTAGCATAATACCTGTGACTGTCATAATACAGGTAATTCTGAATGCTGTTCTGAATGGTACCTTTTTCGCTTTTACCTTAGGATGTAAAAGGTTTGGACAGTTTATAGAAACATTGCAGAGAGATATGTATCTGTCAATGACTTAAATCTAGAGTATTGTAACATTGAAATACTTTGACAAGTGTTTGTTTAAGGTGATGATGTTAATAGCAGTCTTGTTTGTTACTGCTGCAGGTGCTCCACATGTAACACGACAGAACGTAACGCCATCTGTGTGAACTGCATCCGGAAGTGTCACCGCGGCCACCAGGTGGAGTTCATCAGACACGACAGGTGGGCGGATGTGCTGTTGTGCAGCTTTCAGTCTCTTTTGTTACTGGTTTTTCTGTGTGCATGTAGATGTTATTTGTATGTTGAACAGTACCAGTCCATTCAGCGTGATATCTTTTGCTGTGCTTTTACTGTTAATTGCTGCAAGTGGTGCATGATACATAGACTTTGAATGAGTTATCAAAAGCTAATGTGTGTTGAAAAATCACAAAACTTTTTCCGTGTCTTTTGTTTCAGCTTTTGACTTGCTCTTTGTGTTGTATTATTGTGACATGTATTGTTAGAGTAGCTGTTGCGTTAATGTCATGTGATGTTCTACTGCATGTTTACTTCAGCTTTAACCTGTCTACATTTTGTTTGTTTGTTCCAATTGTGTTCTGATATGTTTTGTGTTTGGTTAGTAGGTAGGGTGCATGCTGGCGGATGGGCATGGGGCGAGGGTGTGTGAGCAGTCGCAGTGTGCTAGTCTGTTCTTTGACATCCTTCAGGCAGCTTTTCACTCAAAGTGATGTGACTGGCCTGTAGTGTGTTGGCAATTATAGTTTTTG